TTATTCAAAACTTCTACATGAGATGAAGAAAGCACTTGTTGTGGCCTTCAACTCGACATTCAGATATAATGAAGACGTTTTATCAATAAAAATTATACGTACTTCCATTCATAAGTCGACTCGATATATCCCAGTGAATTCGAAATAAAAGACACCACAGAATCTGCTACATCTGTTTCATATGTGGATGTTTTACTGACTAAAGATGAAAAGGGCCAACTTAAAGGGCCAAATTAAACTGAATGAATAGACAGGGAATGCTTACTCCCTGGAATTTTTGGGGTCCGTAATTTATGCCTTGTTTACAGATTTGTAGATTTTTTTTTAGATAGATCACTATTCGTTATCTTCACATTTTTCATTAGTCATACATGTATAATACTGAAAATGCATTACATCCTTGGACTTCTAGCAGGCAAACTGTTTCCATAATTATAATGAGCTATGAAACTTTTATCAAAATTATAATATTCATGTCCCTTGTGTCTGCCGATCAGGCCCGAGGATGGGACTAGGATGTTTATGTATTGAAAAGACAAAATATCTTTGAAAATCTTTTCTACAAGACAAATATGTGGGCAAACTAATTGAATGATTACAATGAGTACTTAACCCTTTACAAAAATTGTGAAAGGGTCCACGTGGGTCCAGTGTTTAGGACGGGGGCTAAGTTTGTCGTGTATTGAAAATACAGTGTACCTTATTTGCTTTACTTTCGAACTTCTTAGAGACAAGCTGTATGAATAATTGAATATGATAATGAATACAGAATTCTCATTTAAACTGTTTTATCAAATATTTGTACATTAAACCAGAGTTCCAATTCCAGGTGCTCTATGAGAAATCGCCATACTCAGGTGACCATCAAGGCCTCTTTTATAATATAAGACTCAGTAATAATCTGAACTATAATCCAGAACATTTCCGATTTGGAAAGTAAACAATTTTGCACATTAGGGTCGAAAAAAAATGCAATTTTGGAGATTCAGCCCTACTAGTGCCTTCAATTGAAATGAAAACGTTAAATTATATGTTAGTGTTTAATTTTCACGTGATTTATCAAAAATATTCTTAATTTTGAAACACGTCGAAATATCATGCATGGCATCCAAATTCATAGTTGCCTTCATAAGCATACTTGCGTCAGAGTTGAAGGAAATGTCTCAAAGAACTCTTCAATAGTTTCAAGTTAATTATCTATTTTCTAACGGAAATTCAATTGCAAAAACAATAATCTTGATTGTATCTAAGATAAATTGTAGTCTCGTGCAAAATGGATAGAGGGTGTCAATGCTGTCTCATTGGACCAAAAAGTAATCAGATATTGTTAGGATAATGCACGCTATAAAAATGTTCCATTTCCTTTAAGATTCGTAGACTGGAGGCAATTTACTTTGACGTTGAATATTGAACAAACGTTCCAAAAACACATTTTAAATGGGATTTTGATGCATTGATGCGCCGGTTTGTTGTTTAAAGCAAAAGATACTTTTTGATCATCTTTTTTAAACTGCAAACTCTGCATCTTAGGTATATGGAAGTTTTTAAGGGGGGAGGGGTTGTACTTACAGGCATAATATCTTTCTTCGAATTAAAAAGCTTTAAACAAGCATAGAATTGTGTGTTTCAGTTAACTTCTTTTGTGCCAAGTTAGATTGAAAATTGACCAATACTGAAGGAGGAATAGTAAGTTATATTGACTGTAGAGGAGTGGGTTTAGAATAGAAAGAACCATTTCTTTTTCTCTAATGTAACTATGTACTAATACATGTGTTACTTTGACCACTCTTACTCGGATAACAAGATTTTAAATGTATCTTAAACGTTTGTTTTTTGTTTAATGTCCCTCTCGAGAATCTTTCACATATATTGAGAAGCCACCACTTGCCGGTGGAGGGCTGCAAATTTAGACCTAATCTCGGCACTTAAGGCCATTGAGCAGTGAGGGATCTTTTTCGTGACAGCACCTACTGCGACACAGGACCTCAGTTTATACGGCCTCATCCGAAGGACCGGTCCCCCACGTTCCGTCTTAAAAGTCGTTCGACATAATTTAACGTAAACCTATTACATACTATTTACCAAATCCAAGTAGAACTATTTGCCCCCCCCCCCCCCTTCCACTCCTTTAGTTGTCATGTTTATTGTGTACAGTATTTAACAAAGATAAATTTTAAATATAGACCTTTTGCAAATTTTGAAAAACTGGGTATCGAAAATTTTTCTTTTTTTTCATTTTTATCTAGCAGGCCGGAATATTTTAAAATAATTATTCATCGATGTAGAAAATGAAATATTTTTCATATAATCTGTACTTATAAAAGTCAGGAGATTAATGTTAATCTGCAATTTTAGTTAATTCCAGATCATACATGCACTTTAACATAAGCCATCTTCAAATGTGAACCTAAAGAAATTTCTTATGCAGTTCGTTTGCCTCACTTACTCGAATCAAGGTAATCTACAAACACTTGCGTGATTTTAGCATCCGAGCAAAGAAGCACGTATAAATAATGCGCACGAGATCAAGAATCCGCAACAGTTATGTAACAGATAAGATAGCTCTTTAACTTACATTATTTATCACCATTCAAATCACTGTTAATCTATGTAATTGACGTGAAATAATTGCACTCAAGAAACTTCTATTTTAGAATTAAAATTATTCTTAAATCCTTCCAGCAAATTGTGTACTTGAAGACGATTAAGCAGGTAAATGTTATTATACCAAAGTTCCAAAAAAATTGAATTTGTATTCCGACAATGTAAAATTGCAATGATTGAATGTGGTGAAGAAAAGTTATGCCTGAACAAGTCTATGTTCAACTGTCATAGGTATACCCCAATTCTACGAAAACCAAATTATATGTGTTTATGATTAAGTATTATACCTTTACTGATTTTCCTCAAAATAAAAGTAATTTATTAATACCTGTGAATACTCAATTCTTTAAAACAATTACTAATAATTCCCCCAGAAGCAGAAGTTATATTTATGGTGTTAGATCCACCGTTGATGTAGACCAATGAAAGACGTTGTGGGCGGAGTTAACATTTCCAATGGCTTCACCTTTAGGACAGATCTGATCTTGGGTAATCGGAATCTTGCCAACTCAAGGTATCCTTAATGAATTTTAATAATTTTACCCTCTGTGAGCTAGAGTAAAAAAATATTGTACACGTTTTTTTTTCGTTCAGGGTTAATATTAATAATAATGTTTTAAGCTACGAAAAACAACATATACACAATCGTTATTTACATGTATAATAAGAAACAAAATGTTAAAGGTAATAAATTATACCTTTTACGAGTCTGTAGATGCCAACACTAGAGGTGATATGAATTAAAGCAAAATTGTAAATTGATTTGTTGTAATTTTATCATTGTTATATTTTCTTTGCAGTAAAATTAAGGGAAAAAACGATTAAGTATTGATTTCATTTTTAATGTTGCTTAGTTTCACTTTCTTGTATTTGAGAAATGAAAGCTTAAAATTATAAAGTGCAAGTCGTATTACCATTAAATATTCGTTATATTTATAACATGGTTACATAGAAAAAAATATGTTTTGGGGAAATGTTTTAGAAAAACTCATTAAATACTCTTACAAACCATGTCTTATCTCCGGAGTATTTCCATGTTAAATGTGAATGGCATTTCCAGTGTAAATGAGGGATTTAATGAAAAACGAAGGTGACATAAATTCTCTTTATCATAATTCAGGGAATACATTCTGTGATTTAGGTATCGATATAAATTATACTCGTGAAGAAGTTAAAAAGCTGCATATCTAATCTTCTCCAATCTCTATGCTTTAGAAATATTCACTATTTTCATTTCTTTCACTTTTAACTCGCAATTGCTTAGTAAGGGCTAAATCTTTTTACAATACCAAAAAAACAGGGTTTTTCTTACACGCAGAACGTTGACTATATGACATGGCAAAAATTAATAAGAAACACGCTACAAAAAATTTGAAGTAACAAAACAGGTGCTTCCAGTCTAATTAATAATACAACACTGATATGCTGCACAAGATCAAGTACATACATGTATCATGGATCCATTAGGGAACGTTTTATACATAATTATATTAGGTTATAAGATTGTTAAAAATAGTTTCTAGGTTTTTACTTTTCATTTTTTTATAGATTGGAGTACAATAGAACGACTTTAAGTCATATATACACAATTATGAAATAACTGATTGCACGGCTTTGATCTCTAAGCATCGAAAAGAGGTGGTTAATACATGTATGGTGCTTATAACCTTCATGTGAAAAGTCCGCGCAGGATTTGAGGCTTTAGATAGTGTGAACGATAAAATGTAGAATTCTGTTATTCCTCTTCCATAGAACATGCACTTATTTTGTTTTAAGTTGACATCAGGATCCATACAAATTTATCAGTCTTTACAAATGTAACCTGCTATTCATTGAGCACTGCAAATTTATTTCAAAATAGTTTCGCAAATGAACGTAATAGGCATGTTTTTTGAATGTGTAAATTTATTTATCAGATCTGTGCCATAACAACATGTATTAGGGGTTAAGTACTGGCGTTCAAGCTTCAACCACTTGACATTTATTCTGCATCTTCAATAGAAAACTTATTGACCTGCGTGATATGCTCAACAAAAGAGTTATGTAAAGCACTCTGATATCTTAATTATGCAAAGCTTTTTTAACAGTACGAACAAAATCAAAGAATAATGCTTTTAACTTTGAAAAAAAAAAATATTGCAATCGTTAAATAACCATTCGATTTTTTCGCCCACAACAAAATGAATGGCATCAAAAATGGAAACCATACTACAATTTACCGTGAAAGGATGTTAAAATGATTATTATATTTTTGATTTGGATTAACCTTCCGAAAGAATTGTCTTTAATTTTATAAATATATATACACATATGTCAAAGTTTTTAATAACATTAGAATTTAGAACTTTTTACAAATATTATATATATATATATACTGAATTTGAATAGCATCTTACCTTGAGCAAAAGTGTTAAATGGACAGAAAAAGTCTCCAAGAACCCATCCTTCGGTCAAATCGTCAACCAGATGAACCCAAGAACAACTTAAGGATACTACCAAGTCGGACACCGCCAGATTCACAAGAAAATAGTTCGTGGTCGTTTGCATTCGTTTATTTTTCAAAACTACCAATATGATGAGAGTATTTCCTATTAAAGCTATCAAAATCAGTAGAGTATATACTGTTATCTTTACGGCCACCTCCCCGGCGGGGATGGAAACGAGCATATCCAGGGGGTACTCATGCTGCCGGGTATCAAAGTCTGAAAAGTTAAATGTATCGCTTAAGTTCATCACTACAAATGTTTAAAAATTTTATCAAAACCTTCTCACATTCACATCAAAATATGTAATTATCTCAATATAATTACGGAAGACTCCACCGGTTTGGTGAACGCACACATGAAACGAGTTGCTGGGTAATTAGCGAAATAATCCGAACATTCTACGCGCCATTTATCGGTGTGCTCTCTGACTGGCGGTTGTGAGTACATCGAATTCTTATAGTGTATATCGACTCATTCCACTCCTACTAATACAACTTAGAGATTTCCTCATAGACAGATCCTCATATTTCTGATCACTTATCTAATACACAGGTGAACACAAAGTAACTAGAATGAACGTAAAGCTATTCTGTTTCCTCATTAAATGTAATGCACGCTTCGATTAGCATGACAAGTAAAGGAAAAGAGTTGATTAATTTGTTAAATAAAGTTTGATATTCGTTAACAAACAGCTCTTCTTTCAGAGTAGTAAAGAATAAAAAAAATCTACTTTATTGAATGTTTTAATTATAACTGTCCCATTATCACATTGACCACACTAGTACAAAAAAGAAGAAAATAAAAGGATAAAAAAAGATGTGGAACACACAACCAAGTGTAGCATAACTACCACAAAGTCCATTATTGTTCTCGTATTGCATCTAAAATGATAATAAACCATACAATACTCGGCTATCCAAAATAGCGGACGTGTTATGTTCCTCGAGAGGTCTTATACTAAATCGTAAAATCTAGTGTCATTCCAAGCCTTCATCCTTAGATACTCGTAATGTAGGATTAAGGTCAATCATAAATGATAACCAAATTTAAAGAACTGTGATTCCTCGCTTGTGGTGTCTTAGTGGTCGGGATGCAATTGTTTATGGCATAACTTACTGTCTTCTGTGTCACGTCTTGTCTGTTCATCATAAAAAAGATTTAAATTTTTGAATGAATAAAAGTTACGGCAAAAATTAAAGCTTCTCAAAACTGCATCAATTTCAAGATCAAGGTCATGTTGTTAAAAATTATAATACAATCCAAAAGGTCTTGTCACGTATGTATGTCCAATTTTGAACAATTCATCGGATATGACGTTAAACTGTATTCCGTATTAAGGATTTAAACACCAAAAATTGTTTCTGTGGTTTTCGAAAGAGTAGGCTCACTGGGGCTGCTAGAGAAAGTAAACCACAGTAAATAAATGTTACCATGAAATATCCCTAACAAAAATACTCTAGTTAACTATAGTTTACTATAGTATCAAAGTTTTTTTTTTTCTAGTAAATCACTAGTAAATCAAAGTATTTTCACGATGGACTTTAGATTGTTATATTTTTTGTTCCTCAATGCATACAAGCACGTATTTTATATTAAGGATATGGCAAGGTTCCTGGTTATTGTATAGAATTTTTCAAGAACTTTTGAGTAGGTTTAAATGTACTAAACAGGCTATATTCTGGATCATTTTACCTACCAATCCATCATTCTTTTTTAGATTTTGTCAAATTAGTGTTTTCACAATTTTTAATACATTTCCAATGTGAAATGTTGATAAAAGGGACCTACATAATTTTTCACCATAATATTTCTTCAAAACCCATTTATTTCATACAGTTTTTGTATTATATACATTCTTGTATCTTCATTTCCTATGACTTCTAGATATTTTGGCTGAAAATGTATATTTAGAAACAAGACATGGATATACCGGCACCGATCATCATTTTTGAGTTGCGTCCCTTAACAGCTAAAATTGCTCAAGAGACTGGTTGATTTTTTTTATCATGTAATTGACTGAATTGAAACACATTGTCATTAAAATATTGTCATGGATTTATTTTTAACTTTTATTCGTAGTTACTAAATGCCGATTCCTACACACGACCTAAGACCTGTTCTCAGTCGGCATGGTCGACCTACCTTTCAGCATATGACACATCTTTGCCCTTCCCAGCAAACTGAGCATAACTATGGTAAATAATGACCTGTTGGCTCTTTGTCACTGAATACAATGTACAACAAAGCCATTACAGCTTTTCTTTCTTTCTGTATAGATGATTCTACCCGTTGAAGGAGGTACACGTGCTTATGTTTACCTCTGTAACACACGCTTTATTGGTTTTCACCGCCTAGAGAATTCGACACGGGAGATCACTCTCAATCACTATTTTATAAGTGAAAAAACCCATGTATCAAACCTTTTTTTCTCCGGAAAACCCTGACTTGCCAATGTCCCTAAATGGAACTACCATTTGTATATTAACATATTATTTCCAAATTTTACATCACTGTTATCGAATGTAAGAATTTTTAAGCTTTGAAATCTCAAAAGATATTCCAGAGTAAAGGTTAAGAGTAAATCAAAGTATCCAAGTTTGTACTATAGTTAACTATAGTAAAATTTTGTTAGGGATGCCTGAAATATTGCCGAATCAGCGTTAAGCATTCAACATTCAGTCATTTTTCCCTGTGATATCTGAAGTTTAAGAGCCCAAAAGGTGTAGAAAAAATATTGTGAGAGAAAAAAAAAATGAAGAAAAGTTTCATTGGTGAGCCATGAACCTCAGTGCAAGACATTTCGAGAGGGTCTTCAATGAAAATCAGAAATATCCAGACTATTTTATATTAACTTTTTTATTTTAGGAGGAGAAAAATAAGCAGATTATTCATGACAAAAAGATTGCTCATATGTATTTAGATTGAAAGATGACATGAACCTGAAAAAAGGTCAAAAGCTTGTTAATGGGAAACTATAAAGGTTTTGTTTGTTTCTTTATCGTCCCTTCGAGAATCTTTCACTCATATTGAGAAGCTACAACTTGCCGTTGGGGGGGGGGGGGGCTGCAAATTTAGACCTAAACTCGGCATTTGCAGCCTTTGAGCAATGAGGGATCTTTTTCGTGCAGCACCTACTGCGACAAAGGACCTCGATTTATACGGTCTCATCCGAATGATCGGTCATTGTGGATTCGAATCCGCTAGGTAAACATCAATTTCCCATCCGAAGGACCGGTCTCCACGTCCTGCAGTGGATTCGAACCTGCGACGTAAGGATCTACTCCTTACAGCGCGACTCTAGAGCAAACGCTCCAACCACTGCGCCACGCGGGCGACGATAGGGAGTTGTTTAACAATATACATTCATTATTATATTATACACACACACCGTGGTCCTTCGGGTGAGACCGTATAAACCGAGGTCCCGTGTCGCAGTAGGTGCTGGCACGAAAAAGATCCCTCACTGCTCAATGGCCATGAGTGCCCAGTATAGGTCAAAATTTGCAGCCCTTCACCGGCAATTGGTGGCGTCTCCATATGAGTGAAAAATTCTCGAGAGGGGCGTTAAAACAACAAATAAACAAACACACACACCCTACCCCCATATGAATATTATATATATATAGAGAGAGAGAGAGAGAATATTACATACTAAAATCCCTATCATATATCATATCAGCCCGAGTGGTCCCTTATGGGGCTCGAGGGCTGATATGACATGATATGGATTTTAGTGTGTTGTATTCTATTTATCATATATACAAAATACTAAATATGCGAGTTAACAGAAAGTAATTTAAGAATGTTTCGGGCATGTTTATGACCTTATGAGCTTATGCTTTAAAATCTAATAGAGCCATTTTTAGGCCTTTGCAAACAAATTAAGTCCACAAATATAAGTAAAGACTTACATTACATGTATTTTTAAATAAACAAGTTAATTAACTTTTAAGCTTTATACAACGTTACCTCTGGTTTGATGTGGATTTTTGCACGCCGGTCCGATACGCGTGATGTGGATTTTCGGACCGGTCCTTGATAACATGTACAAGGATGACAATGAATTGAAGTGTTTCGTAGTTATGACGATTTGCTTTACAGTAATATTGATTTTCAAAACAAGTTACATATACATGCACACTAGACTCTTCAAAGAACTCTGTACAACAGGGATTTTCCTCAATTATTGCCCGCATTCAAACATTTGTGACTGTCAATACCAGTTATCTTCAAACATCTTAACATTTATCCTCATTTGTCTCTAAATTGTTTTTGTATCGAAGGTTTCTCCGACGAACAACGTGTGCAGATATTTGGAAATACAACTATCACAATTTTGAGTTATACATCTGTCAAATCAGTTAGGATTTCCTAGAGAAAAAATATTAAAATTTCTAACAGGCAAATAACAATTAGTGTTACAGAATTTTTTGGAGATTAAGTAGAAAAGTCAGTTTGAAGAATCTAATTGCCAGTTGTTTACTACAAAAATTTTATAAATTTCCTTTGCGACGAATGGAAATCCCAAGACCTGAAAAGGGAGCAATGCTGGGTTGTGGAGTCTATTTTCTTTGAATCCTTGCAAAGTGATTACACATCATTAAAGATTATCCGAACATCGAGCTGAAATCTTGTCGATTTTCCTTCTTTTGTCTCCGCGTTCTTCGAAAGCGAGGAATTTTAATTTGGGTCTGTCAATCCGTCTTTCTGTCTGTCCGTCAATCTGTTTGTTTTTTGATAATAGCTCTAACTTTAGATTGTGCTATGAAAATTTATATTGTAGCTTTGGCTTAACAAGATGTGTTTGTGAAAGACTGATGCCCCCGTATGGCAGCTTATGGCGAAGGTTAAAGTTTCTCAAATGCAAGTCAAAATCCAGGCCAAAAGATAAAAAATGTTGGTACCCAAAGGAAGGTCTTGTCTCGAGGAATATACCTGTGAAATTTGAAAAACCTAGCTGCAACTGTTCAAAAGTTATGGCGAAGGTTAACGATTTTCAAAAGTAAGTAAAACGTCAAGGTCAAAGTGGTTGGTATCCAAAGGAAGGTCTTGTCACAAGGATTACATATGTGAAGAAAGAAAGCCCTAGCACCAATCGTTCAAAAGTTATGGCCAAGGTTAAAGTTTTTCAAAAGTAGGTGAAACTCCTAGGTCAAGGTCAAAAAGTCAAAGTGGTTGGTTTACCAAAAAAGGTCTTGTTACAAGGATTACATATGTGAAGTATGAAAGCCCTAGCTCCAACCATTCAAAAGTTATCTCCAAGGTCAAAAGGTCAAAGTTGTTGGTATCCAAAGGAAGGCCTTGTCACAAAGAATACACATGTAAAGTTTGAACCCCCAAGCACCAACTGTTCAGAAGTTATGGCCAAGGTTAAAGTCTCATAAAATTTTGCAAAAGTGGGTCAAACTCCAAGGTCAAAAATGATGGTACCCAAAGAAAGGTCTTGTCACAAGGAATACACGTAAAATATGAGAGTCATAGCTCCAACTAATCAAAAGTATGGGCAAGGTTAAAGTTGACAACAGACAGACAGACAAACGGACAAACAGAC